CGATCGGCACCAAGATCTATACAATTGCTGTACGAGATCAAGGCATATTGAAATAGCAAAGGAGATGATTTTAATTCAGTTCAGTCATCGTCGTCGTCTTTGTACCTCCAACTACTTTTTTAGATAACAGATGGCACTGATTACAACACGTAGTTGAGACTTGTGTCAAGTACAAGCAACCAATGGTATAGCCAATACAAAATTTCGTTGATTACATCTCAAAATATAAAATAACTTCGAATTATCTTTAGCAATTTGAAATACGAAAAACTGATTTATATGTAAATAAAAATTAGATGAAAAAAAAATAATAATACGCAATGAAGAATATTTATAAAAAGGAGAAGAGAAGAAATGAAAGTTTATGTAAATATAATTTGGAATTACATAATAAAGTACATACTTTTAGATGAATGAACAAATAACATATTTAGCGCAATCAAAATGTAATTTTCAAATATTTATAGTCTTGGAACATGTTACTTTATTGACTATTCATTTGATTTAATGTAATATGCATGTAAAATTATATGTTACAATATGCAACATAATTTTAAATTAATAAATGATTACATATTTGAGTTATAGTGTAATATAATTTCCAGCAAATTATTTTGCAATAGTATATTCATGTTTCAATAAATTACTTGCTTCACTTCAATATAAAAACTGTTATTCGTATAATATTTTTACAAACAATAATTAGGCAAAGATATTTAATATGTCATTCATCTGGTAATATGAATGATACTTTACAACTGAAATTTATAATTAAAACACTATACACAATTGCCAATACAATTAAGTGCAACAAAGAGACTTGAATTTAGCAGATAGTAACAGTATCATATTTGTTATAAAAGATATATTCTAATATTTATTATGTTCTTGTTGAAAAAGAAAACAAAAATTTAGAACAATTAATATTACAATACAATATTGTATCGCACTAGATCAGTTGAGTGATTGCCTTAAGATATCGAATGAGGACTTTATACATATTAAATCTATAATACTCTTTTAGTTTAAGTATATTTACCCTTCATTCAAGTAAATATTATTAATTATTAGAAACTAATCACATGTAAGTTTTGATAAAAATTTTCATACAAAATTCAAACATTAATTTTATTTTTATCTATTAAACATTCAACCACAGATTTCATAAAAACAAATTAAATGAAAAATATATATTTTAAAGAAAAATTTACTTTGATTTTTGATTTGAACTAAATATGTAACTGATTGTAAGCGTGCAAATGAGGAGGAAATCTTCTTTCCTCATGATAATCTTTTGGTGTCACGTCTATGATTATCACGGTAGAAAGCTTACGAAGATTCCTAAATGACTCAACTTCTTTCTAAATGAATTTCATTCTACATTTAAGAATATACTTTCCTTTCAAATTTATATATATTTTTGTGTTTCTAAGAAAAATCAATTTATAAATTACATTTATATGGCATTTAACATTTTCGACAACGCAATATATTTATCTGATTAGTGACATTGCAATGCATTTATATTTTATATTTGTTTAACAATACAGATTTCAGTGTTTAAAACTTTTTTCATATATCCTATTGAACAACAAAAACTTGTGATATCCCCCAAAAAACACTTACGTGTAAAAAACTACGCCAAGTACAGCCCACACAGCACAGAAATATTTTGTCAACATTGCCAAAAGTTTCCCTTGAAATAATGCAATATTACCGGAAATATATTGAAAATTGTTTAAATATTTCTCGAATGTTGCAGGAACCTTGCAATGTCCGCTCAGCACGTTGCAATCATAATATTACTATAATATTGCCGGTCAATATTTTGGAAATATCAATGCATAACATTAATAAAATATAACTCAGATAGATAACTGAGAAATAATATAACTGAGAATAAATTCCAATGCCAGCAATGTATCGTGAGTTTCTTTGGGCATGTTGCCTATACCTCCTTAAATATTACCTCGGTTGTATTTTTAAATACTCTATACAAATACAATAATTTCACATGTACTTTTTACATGCAGAATACAAAAGTATATATCGACGGCGTAGACGAAAACCGAATAATCGACGGATTAATTATTTAGCCGGGCCTACGTTTTTTCATGCGAGTTGCGTTGGCCACCTAGCGCCGCGGCAGCGAACTAATGTTCGCTCGGCTACTCCGAGTCTGGTTAGGGACTCTTGTCACAAATTTCAGCAATATATCAGAAAGTTTTATTTATTATATTGCCCTGAAATATTGTGCAATATTTGACATAAAGACATCAACAACATTGCTGTCGCATTGAAATATTGGAATATTGTTGTAATGTTTTCGAAATATAGTGTGCTGTGTGGGAGGATTGCTCTGAATTCCTCTAACAAAAATATTGATATCATATTACTGAGGCCAAGTACATAAGTCACTACATGTTTGGCTATTATATGATCTAGCATTGGCCCATCATTTTAATTGTATTTTCAACATTTCCTATGACGCTTTCACTACTCTTTTACATTACTACTGTTTCTCGTAGTTGGTTATGATTGAATGGTTATTTAATAATTGATAAAACTTTAGCTGATTCCTTATCGAGTACTACTTGGTGGGTCCGTGCCAGGAATTTCAAAGTACTTACTTTGAACGTAGTAATAGTATTCTAAATCTATATGTTTGTTATTAAGCTTTTACCGTGATTATTTTTGACGAGTTATTGTTAATAAGCTCTATATAGAAAGTTGAGATTGGTTTTGAGTTTGATGACTGGCATAATGAACGCAAATTTATGTCATGAAATGCACGGACCCGCCAAGTAGTACTCGATAAGGAATCAGCTAAAGTTTTATT